TAAACTTGTCAAGTTTATTATTTTATATTACTAGTCTTCAGAGTAATGTGTGTAGCATATCATTTTCATCTATCATTACTGAAGGATTTTGTAGTGCCATAGAAAGTGAGATAGATAATTACCAAGGTAAAAGTGTAATATAAAAATTATGCTATACATAATTGGTGTTATAGAAATGGGTAGATCAATGAAAGGAATTCATAAACCCTTTCAAAGCTAGTTGTTTTTTTCGTTTTTTTTTTCTTAACTATGCATTAAATGTGGTCATTCTGTAGTTAGCTTGGACTTTGGAATAAAGCAAGAAAATTCAGCATAAAAGTGTGCATCTGCTGCTTTGGAATTATTATAGATAAATTAAAAATAGTACTTAGTTTTTAATTTTGTTTCAATTCAGAAAATATGTTTTTATGATGTTCTCAATAGAAAAAAGACACAAATAATGACTTTAAACACACCATTTTAAGTGCACTTATACTGATAATATTGCCATAATACAGTTGGAAAGTAATATTCCTGACATATTGGAAGATAATAGTAGGCCTTTAATGTATTAATGGGATTTCAAATATAGAATATTTGGTAAATGTTTACATTAAGGAGGGATTCCCAATGAAAAGTCAAATAGTATGAAATGATCGGCAATCTATTTTTTATTATTGGAACATTGTTGAAAAAATTTCCATCTCTTCTAGTGATATGAATTCCAGACACTATGGGGAAACTTGCTTTGATTCTTAGCAGGCAGTCAGTATAATTTATGTGAACTTAGAAGATGATAATCAAGCTATAATTTTAGTTCAAAAGAATTTTATCCTATTATAGAAATTGTGCAGTTAAGATAAGTTATGCCACAGGGCAGTGGTGGCACACACCTTTAATCCCAGCACTGAGGTTTCAGAAGCAGGTGGACCACTGAGTTTGAGGGCAACTGAGTCTACAGAGCAAGTTCCAGGACAGCCTGAGCTACACAGAGAAATCCTATCTCAAAAAAATTAAGAATAGAACAAAAAGATTTCTTTCTCTGGAAGATGAAACTATTACTTATTAATATGGTGAACATGTTGATACTTTCATTTTAGCTTTTTCCATGAAATATCTATATCTATATATATCTATATCTATATCTATCTATCTATCTATCTATCTATCTATCTATCTATCTATCTATATATATATAGTTGTAGCAAGGTGACAAAGCTAAGGAGCTGTGATGAGCTAATGAGTTTTAGAAATGTCTTTATTAACACTGAAAATTAAACTAAAACCTACTTGCTATCTGATAAGCGTATTCAATGACTTTTTAAGATTGTTCTACAACATGGTTGTAACAGGTGACTAGCTGAGAATTAAACCCTTTAGAATGATTCAATTAATTAGCATGCTAATTGGAGACTGTATGTTTTATACTTTAATAACTGTATTTGTTTTTAAAATATAGTGATATTCTGTTATCTTTCAATACATTTAGGATATGTATAATATTGTATATTAACATTTCTCTTCTTCAGTTTATAAAACTTAATATAAATGTTAACTCGCAACTACAAAATTGATAACCTGATTTAACAATGTTTATTTTATGAGTTGAGGAGAAACAGTTAATATTAATCCTAATAATTGGAATATAAGTTTAAGTAGCTCTGGCAATAACACTTCTTGCTATTCACATCAGTGTTATTTTCAGGCTGTGGACACCAGCTAATATAATTTTCTTTCTTTTAAAGGGATTGAGGAGAATTTTGTATGATACACAATAATCTTATCACTCAGTTCTTTGAGGAATTTTTGATTTGGGAATTTAACATGGAGGTAGAGTGTTTATCTACCATGTTTAACACCCTGAGTCCCATTTATGATATTTAAAAAAGAGGGAGGGACCATAGCACTCACACAAAGTAAGATATTGATATAATTTTTATTTTTGTCATTAAAATTACTTTTATTTTTTAAATTGGCACTCATTGCTTGAGATGTCAATATTGTTTATGTGAGAAGACTATATTAAAACATTTGTTGGAAAATGTCATAGTGTTATTTTTATAGTTTGTGTTTTATTTTACATTTAAGATTTAAAAGAAACCCTTTCTTCCTTTTTAAAGTGGAATATTCTGCTTGCTTTATAGGGTGGCCTGAAAAACAGCAAGCATGAATGCACTCTGTCTTCACAAGAATATGTTCACGAATTGCGATCAGGTATCTCAGATGAGAAACTTCTCAACTGTCTGGAATCTCTGAGGGTTTCCTTAACCAGCAACCCTGTCAGGTAGGTGGTTCTTATCATTTTGATAGGATTCATACATTTTGCATTTTATATAGATATTTGGTATAACCAGATATGCTACTTTAACCTCATGATTTTTCCGTTCAGAAGTATATTATCATCTAACAGAAGAGCAATATCTGATTTTCAGGTTCTAAATATTTAAAAACATGCTTAACTAACCTGATATTTAATAATGTTTGATTTAAAACTATAGATAAATTGTTGAATATTTGTTTCCTTTTTGAGGAGGAGTTAAATGCAGAAGTTAAATATTGACATTTGCTTGTTAGTCTATTTGTGTACCCAGATAATTATTATTTATATGCAAAACACATTAATTGCATTGGCATAAAATTCCTTTTATACTTGTGATTATATATATAAGCATATATATATTATTTCATATTATATTTATGTTTTTCATGGACTACCCACATATATTTTTATAACTTTGAAAATAGACCAAACTACTTTTTGCCAACAAAAATGGACACTATCAATAAACTTCTTACTACTTTAAACATTCATTTAACTGTCTTCCAGGTGTTTATTAAGAGGCAGGTCCTTGATAACAATGGATTTGAATAATTCTTTATTGAAAGTAAGAAGACTTAAAATTAGTAATACCCAAAATAATACTTTTTGAAGAATAATAGATCTCAATGTAACATTGTAGTATTCTGGAGTCTACATACTAAATTATCACCATTTTGAGTTCAGAATTTCCTAAAATAGAGTATATAAAGAAAAAATAATTATATTTGTGTTTCCCTATATTTAAAGATGCATATATGGCATTCAATACCTTTTACATAGAAATATGAATTTCAAGAATGAGGACTGACGTCTCAGTCATTCAACTGGAATTAGGTATAAATTCCAATATATTATTATTTATAATCATACTATACTTGGCAAAATTGGAAAATTATAATTTCATAATAAGCACAGTGTTACGGTGTGACATGGTTTGGGCTATAAGAATTTTTCAGTGGTCTCATCTTGCCAGTTCTAAAATAGTATGCTTTTCCGTTTTAGTAATCTCATTAAAATGTTTGAGATCTTTATTAATTTTTATTTTGTACCATCTCCCTTTGTATGCCAGACTAGAATGGAACTCACAGCATCACTCAGCCTGTGGGATAATTCTCCTAGAATGGCTTCCTCAATTCTAAGCCACCATACCTAGCATGGATATGCCTTATCTGAGAACAGAAACCAGAATGCACTCCCAATATCAATAGGAGCTGCAGTGCCCTTCCATTTTTAAACACTGACATTCACAAACATGTTCTATTGAACTGCTAATGGAAGAAAATGGATATGAACTTTTTATGGTGATGCTTGTCTGTGTTTTTAGCCATGATTAAATGAGTCTGTGAGATTACCTGTACTTCCAAGTCTGCCTGGGCTGTAGTATATAAAACTCGTTAAACTAAGCCCTCAAAAACAAAACCAAACCAACATCTGTGGAAGTTCAGGCATTCAGGGATGGAGCCATGGCTCACTGGTTAAAGAGTGTTTGGTGCTCTTACAAGGGACACCACTTCTGTTTCTAGCAACAATTCTGAATGGCTCACAACCACCAGTAACTCCCATCTTGGAAGGATCCAACACCTGATTTTGGCTTCTGCTATTTTGGGCACACATATACAAAATAAAAATAAAAAAAAACACTCCAAATTATTAAATAATTGAGAGACTAATACATATTTTTCCTAGTCAAATGTATGTTTATAAAGACACCAGATAGTGCTTGATATTACATACTGGGGGTTTTATTTTTTCATGAGCCAACCTTCTTTCCTTCCTTCCTTCCCTCCTCCTTTCCTTCCCCCCTCCTTTCCGTTCCTCCCCCTCTCCTTCCCTCTTCCCCCTCCCTCTCCCCTCCCCCTCCCCTCTCCCTCCCCCTCCTCCCTCCCCTCCCCCCCTCCTCTTCCTCCTCCTCCTCCTCCTTCTCCTCCTCCTCCTCCTCCTCCTCCTCCTCCTCCTCCTCCTCCTCCTCCTCATTTTCCTACTCTTCCTCCTCCTCCTTTTTTGAGGCAAGTTCTCCCTGTGTTACTTAGCCTAGCCTTTCCCAGAACTCTGTAAACCAGGTGGGCTTCAAGCTCTCGAAGATTCTATAGCCTCAAATCTCACGAGTTTAGGGATTACAGTTGTTGGGCAGTTGGCACATTTCCCATTTAGAAAATTCTGCTTGGTAAAAAAAACCGCATCAAAGATGGCTTTCTAATCTCGTGAGAATCTGGGAGCTGCCTCCTCTGGTAGCTGATTGGTTGCTCAGAAAGTGTGTGGCATTGAACACTGGCATTCAGTCATAGCCATGACTGAATTCAGTGCCATCAAACCTCGCCAAGTGATGTGGGAGTGATTTCTTATTAATAAAGAAACTGCCTAGACCCATTTGATAGGCCAACCCTTAGGTAGGCGGAGTAAACAGAACGGAATGCTGGGAGAAAGAAGCTGAGTCAGGGAGCCGCCATGGTTCTCCCACTCCAAACAGACGCAGGTTAAGATCTTTCCTGGTAAGCCAGTTCGTGGGCTACACAGATTAATAGAAATGGGTTAGATCAATATGTAAGAGCTAGCCAATAAAAAACTGAAACTAATGGGTCAGGCAGTGTTTAAAAGAATACAGTTTCCGTGTAATTATTTCAGGTAAAGCTAGCCATGCGGGCGGCCGCGTGCCAGGGACGCAGCCCTGCTGCTCGTAACACAACAGCCAAGTCCTCAAAAGATGAGTAAGGGAGGGTTTGGGAGCAGTGATACCTTTTCTGGTGGTGATGCGGCTAGTGGGGCTAGTGGCAGCCATGAGCAAGCTAGAGCTCAGGACCTGGGGCTTCCCTTGACCATTTTGGCCAGGCCCAGCATACATAGCATTGTGCCTTGCTGCATAAGCCAATTGCTCCCTGCTGTTGAGGTTGACAATGTGTTTAAGATCAGGGGGTTTGCAATTCACCATGTCTCTATCATGGGCATGATCATTGAGGTCACGAGAGCTTCGCCGTACCTCATATACAAAATCAATGACATGACCACGAAAGCCATCGAGGCCAGGCAGCCCTTGGCTCCACAGACAGCCAAGCAGTATGTGATTTCACTGCCAGTTGGACTGTATGCCAAAGTGCTTGGCGTCCTCCAGTCATCGGACGGAACCAGACTGCTTGGAATCCTGAGCATCTGTGTTCTGGAAGAAAAGAATGAGCTATCCACACATACCCTGGAGGTCGTCAATGCCCGGATGATGCTGGAACAAAGCTGTACAGGTGTGGCCACAGGAAGGCACCTGTTGGCCAAGGCCCTAACCCGAGTGGCAGCTGCCAGGGCTTCTAAGGGGTCTTAATTTCATCCATATGGAGGTGCTGCGTCTTGTTCGAGTGTGCCCCCACCAGGAAGGGGAGGCTGTAGTCGAACTGCAAAAGGATCTTGTTGGACTTACTGAGATAGCCATCACTAAGGCTATCAAGTATCTGATTATGATGGGACACATCTCTCGCACCCCAAATTGCCAGTGCCTTAAAATTGTGGCTGAGACAAAGAACTGACTTTGCAGTCTCTGAAGGTGTTTTGCTGCTTTGACTTTTAGGAAATACTGTCTCTATTACAAAAAGACTATTTAATTAAACATTTTAAATGCCATATTCTCTAGATATCACAGCATTTGAGGACTGTGTGTTGGGTATATCTGAGTTATGACTGCAATGACATTAGTATAGGATCTGCCTAGAGAACAGGAAACAAGCTGAGAGATAGTGGGGGAATGATTTAACCAGAGTTCTGAAGCTTGACTGTAACTGGTTTTAACTTGGCAGGTCAGATTTATGCTTGTGAAGAACAAAGAAGTAAAGAAAAATTTCTGTTTGCAATAAAAGCTTAACACTAAAAACTGAAAACTGACAATAGTGAAGGTCTTGTAAACAGCTTACAGGAAGTACTGGGTGCTGTAAATCTCTCAGTTAGCTTTAGTTAATCTGAAATAGATCTTTCTGTTCTTAAATTTTCATCACTACATAGAATATATTTTAAAGCAGAGTTAAATCATATATACAGTATGTTGTAACAGATCTAACCATATATTTTTATCATCATCTAAAAGTACATACCAATTCAAAGTATTTAAGATTATGTTTTTTATTCTAGAAGGAAACACACTGAATAGAGCTCATTAGGACTGTTTAAAAGAGCTCATGATGGCTGCTTAAAACATTTCAAATTGATATGTAAGTGTCATATATCAATCTGTTGATTTCATTGGTTAAGCAATAAAGAAACTGCTTGGCCCTGAAAGGTTAAAACATAGGTGGGAGGAGTAAACAGAATAGAATGCTGGGAGGAAGAGGAAGTGAGCTTAGAGACGCCATGCTCCCCTCTCCCAGGCAGACACATGCGATGAAGCTCCGACCCAAGATGGACGTAGGCTAGAATCTTCCCGGTAAGCGCACCTTGGGGTGCTACACACATGATTGGAAATGGGCTAGTCCAGGTGCGAGAGTTAGCTGAGAAGAGGCTAGATATAATGGGCCAAGCAGTGTTTAAAAGAATACAGTGTCCGTGTAATTCTTTCGGGGTATAAGCTAGCCAGGTGGCCGGGGTGCTGGGGACACAGCCCCGCCACTCCTATTGTTACATAATGGCACCCAGACTTGTGGATAACTGAGTCCACAGAAAGCCTGAGAAAGCTTGGGAAAGAATAAAGCATGTTTTCTTGGTAGCAGCGATTTCTCAGGTCTGCTCTGCTTGCTAGAAGCAAGCAAGCACTCTCATCTAAGAGAGGCTTCCTGACTCAGCTTCAGCTGCAAAACCCTGCAGCTCTTAAGAGGTCCTGCCATGAAACATTTAAATGGTGTTGATAAAAGCCGACTGAATGCTTGTTCGTTTTAAGCAGTAGCAGGAAAAAACCTGTGTTGTTTTAAAATGCCGGCTTTCTGGGCCATCCTGCCAGGGCAAACTCTGACTGTTTGAGGCAGGAGGGCCCACTACAGAGAGAGGACTTGTGTGTTGTCTGTGGACATAATGCTGCAACTTACTTGCTAGCAGGGACCTTGAAATGCCATAGAGTTATGCCAGTAAACATGGCTACAGCCAGTAACACAGCCATGAGGCTGGAAAGCTAAGGAATGGACTGGATCTAGCTGGCAAAGCCACGGATTTAATCCTACTGATATTGCTTGCTAACTTAAGGACTCATGTGGTCAAAAAAGAGACATATACAGTAAAAGAAAGATTCAAAGTCAAATATAATGTTTAAATGGTTTACAGTGTGTTAAAAATATATGCATGCTAAACATTAAAGTTCTTAAAGTAAAAAACAAAAAAAAAAGAGAAGAAAGAGAGTGGGTGTGGTAGTACACACCTTTAACCCCAACATTTGAGAGGCAGAGGGAGATTGATCTCTGTGACTTCAAGGTGTGATAGCACACGCCTTTAATCCCAGTGCCTAGAAGGCAGAGACAAACAGATGTCTGTGAGTTCAAGGTGTAGTAGTGTACACCTTTAATCCCAATGACTGGGAGGCAGAGACAGGCAGATCTCTGAGAGTTCAAGGACAGAGTTATTCCAGATCAAAGATATACTCTCAAAAAGCAAAAAGTTAAAAGTAAAAATAAACGAAATAGAGGTTAAAATAAAGCGCACAAAGATGGAAAATACACAGAGAATTTTGATACTGTATGCTATTATGCTCTGTTTGAATTGTTTGAATGCTGAGAAAAGAGCAACAGCGGCTAAACGATATTTGTTTATAAATGCTGCTGAACTAATCCAACATAGATGTTTTGAAAATGCCTTGACTTTGAAATTTGGATCTAAGAACATGATGCTTTGGAAAGGAGTTTCTTATTTTGTTTTCACAGAGGATGAGACCCTGTTCATTTCTTCTATTCCGATATGGTATGATGGACCACGCCCTCCTGAAGGGTTGCTGTGAACATCTTCAGAAAATTGCTTCGCTCAATTGCCAACTGAGATGAAACTAGCACACAGGTTATACCATGAAAGACCTAATTAACGACGCCCCATTCAGCAGGAAGCAGTTTGGAGAGAAAAAACTGCTTTCATGTTCCCAAATATGGTTTATAAACGTTCTTTAACATTTAAAGGGGGATATGATATAGAAATGTATAATTTGTATTAGTATAGATTTTGCTTTATTGATAGAGATATAAGGTCAATTTTGTTATATGTGTATGCATATTTCTGCTATTGATTAAGATATTATGATTGTGTAGTTCATTAAAAAATGTAATGTATAATTAAGAAATATAGGTTAATGGATAATCATCAGTAATAGTCAAGCTTGTAGTCATGTTAGTTAGATTTTCTAGATATATAGAGATACATTTCAGTTAGATAGACATTCTTCATATCTTTCTAAGACTACAGAATATGGCATTTAATGTTTTAATAACTTAGGACTTTTCATGACAATGAGACACTCTGCTCCTGGCAGCACCAATCTACTTCAAGAAGAAGATGGGCATCGAAGAGGCACCTTATGGAATTTGATAGCCATGTGGGCAAGAAACTGTTCTTGCCTGGACTATTGCATAAACTGGACACAGAGAACCCGCAGAGAGAGGACTGCTAAACTTGCCTAAAGGAGAGATGGTCTTATGGGGTTCCTGATTCATGAAAGAGTCTGCAAGACATTCTTCAGGACAAGCAGATAGTGACTGCCTTTGAAATTTCCTGCTTTGTGGAAATGTCTGTTGGAAACTATGGGCCTGTAGGCCAAAGATGGATGCCCCAATGGTACAGAGGAACTTTGGGTGACTGACTGTAAAGGCAGCGAGATGTCTCTGTCATTTCTAGAGTTTTAAAAGTTGCTTACTTTTTGTTTGCTTAGGTAATATTGTATTCTTCTGGAGTCTTTGATGCAGTTGAAGAATAGATAGATAGTTATAGTTATAGTTTTCCATTGTTATGATAAAAGATAAAATAGATATAAATATTGTAACTGTAATTCTTGCTTGATAACTGTTTTGTTATATGTAATTTTGCTATGTTAAAGTTAAAGCCTTCCTTTTTTTGTTTAAACAGAAAAAGGGGAAGTGATGTGGGAGTGTCATATATCAATATGTTGATTTCATTGGTTAAGCAATAAACTGCTTGGCCCTGATAGGTTAAAACATAGGTGGGAGGAGTAAACAGAACAGAATGCTGGGAGGAAGAGGAAGTGAGCTCAGCAGAGACGCCATGCTCCCCTCTCCCGGACATAGGCGATAGCTCTGCTCTCTGAGGCACATGCGATGAAGCTCCGACCCAGGATGGATGTAGGCTAGACTCTTCCTGGTAAGCACGCCTAGCGGTACTACACAGATGATTAGAAATGGGCTAAATTAATATGTGAGAGTTAGCCTAGAAGAGGCTAGATAGAAATGGGCCAAGCAGTGTTTTAAAGAATACAGTGCCTGTGTAATTATTTCAGGGCATAAGCTAGCAGGCGGCCAGGGTGCTGGGGACGCAGCCCCGCCGCTCATATTACAACATCAAATAATAATTGTATGAACATATATATCCAGCTGAATTTAAGTAGCATATACATGTGTAGAGTTAAAACTTCCATTCATATATGTACGGTTAAATCTAAATTACATGCATATCCAACAGACATGTATTAAATAGGGTTTGAATAAATAAGAAGGAAGAACCAGTGTGTGTTGAGTAAGAGGAAACTGGCTTTTCCATCTCTCACTTGCATGTAGTAGCAAACAGATAGGACATTAACAGAGAAAGTAGACAGATATAAACAGGTCTTTGGAGCAAAGATAAAGAAAGTGGTTAATCAAAGCTTCCGGTGAACGTGAAAGCAGATGTTGCAGGTGGAAGAGAGCCAATCTGCTGCAGGTTGAACAGGTGAATGGGGTCCCTGTGTGAAGTGTGTGTTCTGGCAGGTCCTGCCAAAGCACACCACTGTGTAGACATGCCAGATGCAACAGAGTCAGTGTAAGAGGGAATTAGAAACAAAGATAAAAGTAAAAGGTGAAAGATGAGACAATGAGCACCCTTAATAAAAATGACAACTAGGGCATCTGACCTGTCTGTCTTGTCCTTAGGCAATATGGCACCTGCTTACATGTTGTAAGATACCTTTGAGATTTTAAATCATATCCACTTAATGCTGTAGGAGGTTTTTCTGTATTTTTATTGCTTTCATTGCTTGAATAAAACAACTGCCTTGGCCTTTTGATAGGGCAGCACTTAGGTAGGTTGAGTAGACAGAACTGAATGCTGGAAAGAAGGGCAGACAGAGAGCCACCATGGAGCTGCCAGGTCAGACATGCTGAATCTTTCCTGGTAAGCCACAGCCTCGTGGTGACATACAGATTATTAGAAGTGGATTAAATCAAGATGTGAGAGTTAGCCAATAAGAGACTAGAACTAATGGTCCAGGCAGTGTTTTAAATGAATACGGTTTCTGTGTGATTATTTCGGGTGTAAGCTAGCGGGGTGGCTGGGAGGAAAAGCAGTCCTGCTCCTTCTGTTACAACTTAACAAGATACACATAAAGGACACAGGTATTCAGAATCACACACATGTATCCACA